AAATGCAAAAGTGGAGATAACAACAAACACCATGTAAATCCAGGAAAGAGACTACTTTGTGAGCCTATACTCTAATAAATTTGAAAATCTTGAAGAAATGAACAGATTTCTATAAACTTACAACCACCCAAAACCGCAAAACTGAACCAAGAAGATATTAACCACCAGAATAGATCTATAACACAAAAAGAAATTGAAGCAGCAATCAAGACTCTCCCAAAAAAGAAAAGTCCAGGACCCAATGGATTCACTGCTGAATTCTATCAGATGTTTAAAGAAGAACTAATACCAACTCTCCTTAAACTGTTCCACAAAGTAGAAAAGGAAGGAACACTGCCTAACTCATTCTACGAAGCCAATATAACTCTCATACTAAAACCAGACAGAGACACCTCCAAAAAGGAGAATTATAGGCCAATTTCCTTAATGAATATCAATGCAAAAATTCTTAATAAAATAATAGCAAACTGAATCCAACAACACATCAGAAAAATCATACACCATGACCAAGTTGGCTTCATCCCAGGGATGCAAGGATGGTTCAACATATACAAATACATAAATGTAATACAGCACATCAATAGAAGCAAAGACAAAAACCACTTGATCATCTCAATAGACGCAGAAAAAGCCTTTGACAAGATCCAACATCACTTCATGATAAAAGCTCTAAGAAAACTAGGAATAGAAGGAATGTGTCTCAACATTGTAAAGGCTATTTATGACAAACCTACAGCCAACATCATACTTAATGATGAAAAACTGAAACCATTCCCTCTAAAATCAGGAATGAGACAAGGATGCCCACTATCTCCACTCTCATTCAACATAGTACTGGAATTCCTAGCCAGAGCAATTAGGCAAGAAGAAGAAATAAAAGGAATACAAATAGGTAAAAAAAATGTCAAAATATCCTTATTTGCAGATGATATGATCCTATACCTTAAAGACCCAAAAATCTCCACCCAAAAATGCTTAGACACCATAAACAGCTATAGTAAGGTGGCAGGATACAAAATCAACCTATAAAAAGCATTAGCTTTTCTATACACCAACAATGAACAAACTGAGAAGGAATATATGGAAACAATTCCATCTACAATAGCTTCAAAACGAATCAAACACCTAGGAGTAAATTTAACAAAAGATGTGAATGAACTCTACAAGGAGAATTACAAACTCCTGAAGAAAGAGATCGAGGAAGATTACAGAAGATGGAAAGATCTCCTGTGTTCATGGATTGGTAGAATCAACATAGTAAAAATGGCTATGCTACCGAAAGCAATCTACATGTTTAATGCAATTCCCATCAAAATCCCAATGACTTTCATCACAAAGATTGAAAAACCTACTCTAAAGTTCATTTGGAAACATAAGAGACTGCGAATAACCAAGGCAATACTCAGCAAAAAAAGCAATGCTGGCGGTATCACAATACCCAACTTCAAACTATATTACGCAATAAAAACAGCATGGTACTGGCACAAAAACAGACATGAAGACCAGTGGAACAGAATAGAAGATCCAGATATGAACCCACACAACTATACCCACCTCATTTTTGACAAAGGTGACAAAAACATACGATGGAGAAAAGACAGCCTCTTCAACAAATGTTGCTGGGAAAAGTGGTTATCCGTCTGCAAGAAACTGAAATTAGACCCATGTCTATCACCCTGTACTAGTATCAACTCAAAATGGATCAAGGACCTAAATATCAGACCTGAAATTCTGAAGTTACTACAGGAAGGAGCAGGAAACACTCTGGAACAAATAGGTATAGGCAAAGTCTTCCTCAATAGAACCCCAGCATCCCAGCAACTAAGAGAAAGGATGGACAAATGGGACTTCATAAAATTAAAAAGCTGCTGCACAACAAAAGAAATGGTCTCTAAACTGAAGAGACTACCCACAGAGCGGGAGAAAATATTTGCCAGCTACACATCAGACAAGGGACTGATAACCAGAATATACAGGAAACTTAAGAAACTAAACTCTCCTAAAATCAATGAACCAATTAAAAAATGTGCAACTGAACTAAACAGAACTTTCTCAAAAGAAGAAATTCAAATGGCCAAAAAACACATGGAAAAATGCTCACCATCTCTGGCCATAAAGGAAATGCAAATCAAAACCACACTAAGATTCCACCTCACCCTTGTTAGAATAGCCATCATCAAAAACACCACCAACAGCATGTGTTGGCGAGGATGTGGGGAAAAGGGAACACTTGTACACTGCTGGTGGGAAAGCAAGCTAGTGCAACCACTCTGGAAAAAAATTTGGAGATTCCTTAAAAATCTAAACACAGACCTGCCAGCAATCCCACTCCTGGGAATATACCCAAAGGAATGCAACACTTGTTACTCCAGAGGCACCTGCACACCCATGTTTATTGCAGTGTTATTCACAATAGCCAAGTTATGGAAACAATCAAGATGCCCCATTACTGATGAATGGATCAAGAAAATGTGGTACTTGTACTCAATGGAAATTTATTCAGCCATGAAGAAGAATGAAATCTTATCATTCACAAGTAAATGGATAGAACTGGAGAACATCATCCTGAGTGAGGTTAGCTAGGCTCAGAAGACCAAAAATCATATGTTCTCCCTCATATGCAGACTTTAAATCTAGAGCAAATGCAGTAATGTTGTTGGACTTGGATCACATGACAAGGGGAGAGCACATACAGGAGATATAGGAATAGGTAGAAAACCCATAACATGAAAGCGTTTGATGTCCCTACTCCAGAGGAACTAATACAGAAACCTTAAAGCAACAGAGTTTAACATGAGAAAGGGATCAGGAACCAATGTAAAGATCAGTTAGAGATGAATCAACATGGGTCATAACATGTGTACACGAAAGCAATGCTAGGAAGATTTCTGTATAGCTATCCTCAACTCAACTAGCAAAAGTTCTTTGTCTTCCTTATTATGCTTGTGTCTTTTCGTCAACAAAACTAGTGATAAAGGCAGAACAGGACCTGCCTGGAACTGAGGGGGGAAGGGGGGAGACGGTAGGCGATGGGAGCAGGGGGGGAGAAATGACACAAACAATGTATGCTCATGTGAATAAAAGAATAATAAAAAAAACAGTGCGAACTTATACTTCTGGGATTTAACTACCTTCTTAGATACTACTTGAATGCCTTGTTTATTAATATTTTTTCTTTCACTATCTGATACAAGAAGTTTAAAGATGAAATATTATCCTTTTCATTTCAGTTCAGTTCAAAGAAGAGAACATAATACTCAAATAATAAAGAATGAGTACCCTGATTTTTCAGGGGTAAAATAATTTAAAACCCAAAATGAGTATGTTCCTGCACAGCATAGTCTTTTGCGTCCGTATGGGATGGAAGAGAAGTGAATAGGGAGAGTTAAATTAGAAAGGTAGGCTAGCGTGAAATTCTAATATCTGTACAAAGAATGTGTCACAAGGAGCCATGAAATAATTTAAGCTTTAGGGTCACATGATCATAGGAAAGATCAGGAAGCAATTAGGAATAAAGAAGAGATTAAAGGCAGGAAGAAATGTTTAGGAAGCAACACAGGCATTCCTTAACTGAGAATAGATGTCTGAGAAGTTTATGAGGTAGTAGGAAAAATATATGGTAACTTATTTGTGGTTACTAAGGTGAGGTAGGTATTCAAGATTTCTATATTGTGCAACACGGGAATACTGAAGGGAATTCTTGAGGGTGTTAAATAAGAGATCACTGGCCTGTGACTATCTCTATGCTTTCAGTCTTTAACCAACAAACTGCAACAAACTGCAAACTCCAATGTAGTACATAAACAAACCAAAACATAGAATTATACATTGCTGAGTTTCCACCAATCACCACCAGATGGGTTCCCGCCAATAACAGGCAGTCAAGTGATCACACCATGCCCAGATAGGCAAATGCCTAGCTATAACCAATCAGGTGATTTCGGTACTTCCATGCTTGGCCTATAAAAGTCACTGCTCCTGCTTCAAACCTCTTTGATCCTTTTCTCTCTCTCTGAATACTGTTGAACTCATTAATCACTGCTCTAAGTTAACTTAAAAGTTTTTTTTAATAGGGAAGTGGATGACTTCTCTTACGAACATTTTGATTTGGAGTGTCTTTAAGTCATACATGAAATGGGAATATAGATCAGGAGTTGGCAAACTATAGGTCAAACTATGCTTCCATAAATGTAAATAAAGTTTTGCTGTAACAGAGCCATTCTCATTCTCTTTGGTGATGTTCTGGTCATTTACAGAAAATGGACAATAACATACTGGAATTCAAGAGTCTGGGATAAGAGCTACAGAATATTTTATGGGGGTGGGGGATGGGGGATGGGAGGGTAGGGAGCCAGGAAACAGAGGCTACTGACAAGTTGATACTGTTCCTTGTTCTGAAAATTCTTTCTCCAGGAGGGGTTTCACACTGGCTTGGGACAAACCATTATGGTGGGGGTGGTGGTGGGACTTTTTGGACTAGTTTACAAGAGGTTTGTTTTCTTGGTTCTTGGTCACTTTAACCAGTACTGTATCTTAACGGTTTTGAGAGTTTTCAACAATGTGAGTGAGTTCTCTTACTTCACTTCCCGGGAAGGGGAGCTAAATTACTCTATTGTGCCCTGCCACCCCCACAGTCTGGCAGTTGGAACAGCCCCATAGTGAAGAATCTCCTGAATTCTCCTGTCTATCCCCCCCACCACACCGGAGCCCTCGGAGGGAGAGTGGCCCATCTCTCTCTTGAGGCGTGGTTGGTGGCTTTGGCGGGCCTGTACCTCCACTGGTCCCTCGCTGGTGAGGTGAGGCATGGTGGCATGGTGGGAGGTGTCCTGGGGCAGGACAGGACGGGCAGGGAGTGGTTACGAGGGGTGGGGATGGCCAGGGTGAGGGCAAGGGGGCAGGAGAAGACTGAGAAGAGGGGACGGGCGAAGGGTGAGGCCGGGATGACTGGTGGACCCCTTCTCCCAGGGCCAGAGCTGAAGCCGCCAAATCCCTCAGCCATCATGGCCATGAAACCCGAGAACCCCGGTAGTGGGTTTCGCCATAGCAACGTCTTTGCCTTCATCAACGAGCGGATGGCCAGGCACGCCACAGGCCCCCAGTTCTATCTTGAAAATCTGACTTTGTCCTGGGAAGAGGTGGAAGACAAATTCAGGGCCATCTTGGAGGACCACGAGATGCCCAGAGAAGCCCTGGAGGCCTGTGCCTGGAGCAGCCTGGCCCTGGGCGTGCGCTTCGCCCGCTGGCAGAGCCACCTACAGAGGCGCAGGGTGCAGTGGCTGCACGACTTTGCCAGGCTGCACAAGTCGGCTGCACACACCTTGGCCTCCGACCTGAAACAGCTCTCCGAGCAGCAAGAGATGGAGCGCAAGGAGGCCGCCTTCCAGCTGAGGCTGGCTCGGACCAAACTGACCGAGGTGCAGAGAGAGCGGGACCTGCTGAGATGGAAGCTCCTCCAAGCAGTAAGCTGTCCCCTGCCCACTGCCCACCCCTCACCCCAACCCTATGCCCGTGCCCCACTCTCCTGCACCCCAGAATAGTCTCAGCCTACTCACTTCTTCCCAGGAGCTGAGAGCCCTCCCAGTTGCAGAGGGGCCAGGCCGGTCTACCACCACAGCCACAGCTGCTGCCATTACTACTGCTTCCACTGCCACTGCTGGAAGGGCCACTGCTGGAGGGGTGGGAATGGGGAGGCAAGGAGCAGGTGACAAGGAAAAGATGGCAGATGTAGAAACTACTGCTTCAGGAGGCAGAGGAAAAAGAGAAGAGGAGAACAATGCAGCAGCACTGCCTGTCCCTGCGGAGGCCCCACAAGAGCAGGAAAAAAGCTTCCTGCAGCTTCTGGGAGTTGAGGAGTGGAATTATCCCTTGGGCAGGAATAAGGAGGGAGATCTCAGATCTACTGACATGGCCACCTTTTCTCTCCCTGGTATCCGGAATCCCAGGCCCATAATCTCCCCTGACCTCCTCACTGTTCAACTCCCCGCTTCATTCACTTACTCCTATGAAAGCCCCTTCCCAGCTAGGACCACCCAATCCCCACCACCAACTGTGAGCAAACCACCTGTTCTACCTACAATGCTTTCCTACTGTGTACCTTCTGACATTAGTCTGCTCTCTGATATGGGGGCCCCAGGAGTAGACCTTCAAGAACCCCAGAAGGACAGGAGAGACTCTGAACTCCAGCAGCAGAGAAAAGCTCCAGTGTTTCGCAGGCCCGGGGACTGGGACTGTCCTTGGTGTAAAGCAGTGAATTTTTCACGGAGGGAAAACTGCTTCTGCTGCGGGAGAGGAATCTGGCTGCAAAGCCCTTAGTGTATCCATCAATGCCAAATAGAACAAGCATACTGCAAAGGGACATTGATTTTCAGATGTTTGGGGAGGTGGGGTTCTAGGTGGAGTGGGAGGAAGGTGGGGGGAGGTGGAAAGGGTGTGAATGGTAGGGGGAAAACATGTTTTGATGACTCCTTTTGTATTCCACAGCATTAGCATTCAACACCCCAGAACTGCTCCAGCTTCTGTATGTGTGTGTGTGTGTGTGTGTGTCTCCCCATCATTGTGTCTGGCAAACCTGGAGAGCCATGCATATAAAACCCTACCCACTCCCCTACCTAGGCCTTAGCTTATCAAAGCAGGAGTGGTCATTGGACCCATCCTGAACCAAATGGACTCTTAGGCTAGAGGATCTGAGGAGAAGCAGATCTAAATAAGGATGGGGTTGGGCAATGAAGCAGTGAGTCACTTGGAGTTGGGGTCCTGGTCCCGGCTGTGGAGGAATAGAACCCAGTGCTTTTTAGAACCTTATACACCAGTATGAGGTATGTTCCAGGTAGCAGAGAAACAGAAGCACAGATGTATTGACCAGGTGACCCCAGAGAGCTTGAGAGTGGTACCAACTCAACTACTTTTCACTTCTGCGAACATGCAGAGATCCACTTTACTCAGATGCCCTTTTCTTTAAGCTAATTTGAGTGGGTTCCTGTTCTGGGCAACAAGATCATTTCCAAGCTCCATATTGGTATCAGCAGAGCAATTTCAAGAAAATATTGGAAGTTATTGGGGAGCTACATCAGGATTAGGCAAGCAGTGGAGGTTCTTGTATCCCAAGAGTCCCCAGGAATGAACTAGAGAGGAGGGTCATGTTCTGGGAGAGTTATATCACAAATAAAACAGGCCTGGGGGCAACCCCAGGTTTATTAACATGGCAGAGATTTGCCACTCATAAGGGAATCCTGCAGGGCTGTGCACAGAGGATGTCAGCACCAAGGCAGGACTGCTGATTGTACAGCCTCCAGACAGGGGAATCCTCCCCAGTCCCCAGTGGGCAGAACCAGTGACAGATACGAACAGGGAATGCATGTCACTGCCAAGGTGAGTCAACAACTGATAAGTGCTCAAAGGGTTTGCTGATCCAGACCCTGGACCAAATCATGGTCCCATCAGTTCTCTCCTCCAGCCCACCACCATACTAAATTTAGGAAGAGAGTCTAGCTATAAATCTCTCAGTGAATTCAGAAGTAGGAAATACAGCAACATATCCCAATGGGAAATAAACTTCCAGATATTGGAGGAGAGGCAGAGGAAGATAGGAGTGGGTAGGATAAGGGTGGGTGGGAAGTTGGTCTGCTTAGCCCTCTCTAATAACTGACTATAAGCTGTGTTCAGAAAGGAATAACCAGAGGTGGGAATGGGAAATGGAGAAAAGGAAGGAATGGATCATCAAGGTAAACAGAGGACCCCATTGGGATAGGATCCAACTGAAGGAAAACCCTTTGGTTTGGGATGGCAGTAGGATTCCAATATGGACACCAGACAAATTTCTCTGGTGTTAAAAGTTTTTATATTTTTTTGGTAAAAGTGTGTTTTGATTTGGATTCTATTTTCATAGGATTATGGAAAGATAAAAAGCTATTTTTCATGACTTCACATGTACCCAGCATCATTTTTTTCATGTCAACTCACAAGCATTGCATTTCTGTAATTTATTGGTTAAACTTAACATACTAAAAAAAGAATTCTAGTGTGTAAATCGGACTCATGATCTAAGAGTTTCAGCCAGTAAGTCAACAGCCAACATATATGAAAAGCTTTGTGCATGTATATAGTATGTGAAGGTGCTCAGGGGTAAGCTTTAGACCAAGAGATAGAGATGAGAGACAGACAGAGAATGAGAATGCTATTTTGGCTGAGAATAAGAAGAATTTAAATAGAAAATGTTGCCCAAACCCTTTCCTTACAGGAAGTCAAGTAAGGCATTGAGAGGGGATCAGGAGCCAGGCAAGTAATTTGAGCCTGCCACCAGTGGCTCACATCTACTAGCTACTCAGGAAGCAGAGATCAGGAGGATCACAGTTCAAAGCCAGCCCAGGCAAATTATTCACAAGACCACCTTCTCTCCAAAAACCCCATAACAAAAAAAGGGCTGGTGGAGTGGCTCAAGGAATAGGTCCTGATTTCAAGCCCCAGTACCACACACACAAAAAAAGTAATTTGAGAGGGGTCAGGGTAATGGGGCTAAAAGTCACAAACATGCATATACAGCAAACACTTGGTATCCACAGATAGGCAGTTCCAAGGAGACTACTGTTGGGATCTGTGAATGCTCAGGATGCATAGAGTTCAGTGCTGTACTGTGGATGCTTGATTCATTTTCCCGTAACGCTGCCCACTTATACAAACATGCTGCTGCTTGGCAAATCTAAAATTTTTATTTTTCACTTAAATTAAGCACATTACCTTTTTGATTTGGGAGAACTACCATAACTTTTACCATGCTTTTTGGGCAGCATTTCTTTTTGAGAGGCAGATTTGCACAAAGTTAAGGTCAGGGAAATACTCATCAGATCACCCAATTGATTTAAACACAACTGATGATAATGCAGTATTGACAGAGCTTCTCCGCATCAACTGAGCTGCATAATGCATGTATGGGAATTTAAAATTTTTGGTTTTGATTTTTTTAACTTTATTTCTTTAACCACACATGGTTTAAAATGCATGTAGTAAATCCTCAAGTAAGGCAAGCTTACTGTAGTATCTTTCTATATCCAAGTAAGTATACATTGCCTTACTGTTGAAGAGTGTGATCTAATCTGGAAATAAGTATGTGTATATCACTGTTAGCCTGAGTTTTGTTTTAATGAGATCAAGTCTCAAGGGTGGAAATATACTTAGTTTTTCTGTATTTGATAGCCATAGATCAATACTGTCCTCACCAAACATCCACCAGCTAGCTATCTTTTCTTGTACCGTGAATATTTGGGAGTCCATGTAAATGCACAAAAAGCAAAAGCCAGTTAAGAATATACCTCCTACAGAGTTTCTCCTTCTCTTCTTTGATAGAAAACAACTTTTAAGCACTTCTGTATAAGATTTGGAAACTGAAAAAAGTGATCCTCAGGGTTTAAAACTGTGAGGCAAGTAGCCTGATTCTATCTCTGGAAATTCCTATTTTAACTTGATTATCACTTTTCATTAACTTAGAATTTCTATTTCACTGCCTTCTGTTGCACATCTTTAGTCAGTACAATTCTGTCTTTTAACACCAGGCTATACTCTACACTGAAGAAACTGAAAACAGACCACATAAACTTATAACATAAGTAATCATATCTCACTTGTTGTTATAAGCAATTCAAACTCCCATAAAGAGCACTAAAAGTAAGTAATGAATGAGAAGATAGTAAAACAAACTGATTATGGTATGAGCTCTGGAGTTTGATGGATTTGTCCAAGTGTCGGCTCTGCCATTTACTTCCCATATGTTATTGAGCAGTTTCTTTAACCTTTATGAATACCAGTTTTTATCATCTTCAATAATATGACCTACTCATAGTGTTATTCTGAAGATTTTTAACACAAAGCTAATCATATAATAAAGACTTCAAATTCACAGCAGTTACAATGGTGGTGGTAGTGTAAGCAGAAAGAAGAAATGTGTGCAGAGCTCACTCTGGCAGCATTGGTGCTAAATGCTTGTCAACACTCTAAGATAGGTATTGTGATTCTTGCAGCTTTCCAATTCTTCTCTCTCAGTTAACAGCACCATGAGTCACCCAGTTCCTAAAGTCACAGCATGGGCATCATCCTTTAGTCAGCTGTTCTCCCATCTAGTGTATCAATATGTCCTGTCAGCTTATCCTCCACTGCATGTCTAGTGTCCATTCACTTCATATTTCCAAAGCTACCACTTCCAGTCACTGTTAGATCTTACCTCAACTAATACAATTCACCTCAACTGCTTCCCATCTCTTCATAGTTTGCAAATTGTGAATAAGCTGGTTGAACCTAAGAAGTTACATAAGTAACTTCAAACTGAAGCAATTCATCTCCAGAGATCAGACTCATAATATGATGCAGTAGTAGCAGTAATGTAGAGATTTCACTATATATATATATATATATATATATATATATATATATATATATGTATATACACACACACATACACACAAGCTAATTCATAGTCTTCTTTAGTAACGCATTAAGGCAGATGATGTGTCATAATTTTCTCTTGGGCTCACCATAGGAATTGGACCATGCAAGTATCTAATGGATATGTTCACTGAAATTACTTTTCATGTCTTAGACTACAGTTACCGCATGTCTTTAGTTCTCTTCCCTTTTAAGGAGTTTGGCATGATATTTATATGCTGTTCCATCACTAACAGGAAAGAAGGTGGAGGAAAAACACCAATCTGTAGCAATAGAATTCTCCTGATAGAATAGTATTAAAATATATGGTAAGCTAACAGCAGAGACTCCTGGTACATTTAAAGATTCACTGCAAGGATACAGGCACAGCATAGACGGAAAGTTGGGTTTAAACAGTGTTTTGATTTTCATAAGCAAGACAAAGTGAGGGTCAAGAGAACCAAGAGAGTATATATGAGACTCTTCAGAAGGATTAATCATTGAATTTAAATATTCAAGGTGAAAATAGAGCAAGAGATAGTAAAAGCACTGAGGGATAATTAGCTGGATGTCTGGGTGGGATCCATAGTTTATTAGATAAGGGATATAGAAAGCATGAGTTAGAAAAAAGTAAGAGGTGGCAGCAAGAGAGTAGAATGCATGAAATGGGACTATGGAGAGGATTGCTACAACCTTCAAAACTCTAAAATGTTTTAGGTGGCCTACCACAATCATTACATTATTTTCTTGACTCCTGAAAAGATTTTGTTTGCAACCCATGCAATACATGAAAATTTTAATTCTTATCAAAGTAACAATAAAACAGGAAGTTACCAATTTGTGTTATGATACCAGGGGTGAAACTAAAAAGTATATACAAATACCAGTGTTAGCCAGTCCGT